TCATTTCCGCACAAGTTTGCTCAGGAGCCTATCACCTACTGTTCACTCTCTACCATGTGCTATGAAATGATTCCAGCTCTTCAGCACTTCATAAACTAGCAATCATTTTTCCCCTGCTCATTTTCTTTTGTTGTCTCTGCAGCCTGGTCCCTCTCATCTCTAATTTACCTTGTATCCTGCAGAGCCTAGAAGCCTCTCAAATTGCCTTTGTCCATTTGGCTTGTGGGGACAGTGAAGAAGACAGTCTGTAGCAGCGGGGCGTTGGGTCGAGATTGCTGTAATCATGGTGCGCTACCTGTTCATTAAAAACACAGTGGGAACACGGCTCACAGCGTTTAGCAACCAATTAGCAAGCAGCGCAGGCTATTAACATTAGCAACATTAGCTTCGAGAGGAGGCCTTGTGGTTTTCAGTGTGTTTGAGGAGTTTGGAGCAAGTAAATGGCAGTATGTAAATCTAAAGTGTCATAAACTTGGTGACTTACTGTTGATTCATGACTGCAATCAGCCTAAATGAAAAGTAGAAGGAAAAGCTCAGAAGACAGGTAAATTTAAACCTGAGCTAGCAGCAGATCTGTGATTATAATACAATGTGTGAAGATGGCGTTTGATTGCTTAGGCAGGAGGGTGGGACTCTTTAGGAACACCAAGGCCAGTGTAATTATCGCCACACAAAGGAAATGATTTAAAAGAGACAAGTTGTCTTGATGAGGCCCCATTTCTTTACTTCTTGACATTGTGAAACCGATATATTTTTGGAGATTAGAGCACATCCGAGCAGCTTCCTGGTAGCTGCTAAGGGGTATTTTTTTTTGCATTTAAGAAGTAATCATGTCGCTTGCCTCAATGCTTTACTTTATTTTATGTCTACTCCATTGTAAAAGTTGTTCAAAGGTTCAACACTGAAGACATCAGAGTTATTTTTGCAACAATACATGAGGATGTAAAACTTTGTAGTTTGGAGAAGTTACTAAGTTTTGAGGAAACAAAATAACATGTGACCTTTTGGGACATTGCTCATAAATAATTATTACAATATAACCTGTATGTTTAATCTGAAATTTTTAGAGATTATTCCTCAGTATAAAAAGTAAACCTACTTTGGAGTGGAACAGTATAAATGCTGGACAAAGTTCCATTTGACCTGGATACTGTGGCAAAATTTGTGAAAAACATCAAGTCGTTTCTGGCACCCCAGACACTTTCTTCAGCTCATCTGGGGGTCCAAAGGTGTTCCCAGGCCAGTTGAGACACAGATCCTCCAGCATGTTCTGGGTCTTTCCCAGGGCCTCTTCTCAGTGAGACATGCCCAGAGCCCAGATCCCATATGCACCCTGTATGGGTGTAAATGGGATCTTGCCCTTTCAGTCATTATTATGCTCATGACCAGGTGAAAGTAGGGATGTAGATTTAAGAACTTTGCCTCCCACTTCACCACAACAGTCTCGTGCAGCGAAAGCATCACTGCACCGATCTGCCTAGCAATCCCACTCTCTGTTCTTCCCTCACTCGTGAACAAGACTCCAAGGTACCCACCTGGAGAGAACAAGCCACCCTTTTCCGGCCGAGAACCATGGCTTCGGATATGGAGGTGCTGACTTTCCCAGTCACTTCACACTGCTGCAAACCGTACTAGTTCATGTTGCAGATTCTGATCTGATGAAACCATCAGCTGGTTCAAACATCATCTGCTAAACAACAAGTCAGTCACTGACCGCCAACCCAGGGTTTCCTGGTGCCAGGTGCATTGATGGACACCCTTGGGCCTGTGCACATGATCACATCACACCAGGTATCACTATCACTGCCCAGGGGGGTGCTGAAGTTCACCAGCAGCATGATGGAGTCCCAGGTCGGAGTACCACCTCCAAAGAGGAGTAGAACCATTCTTAAAGTGTTGGAGTGTAGTCAATAACCCACAGTAACCGTCATCAAGGTCTTGGCCTTTAATCAAAGCCTGGATCTCTCTACACCTGCCCCTCTGGGTTCCTCCTGGTGGTTGTGGGTCCACAGAATGGCAACTGCCAGACATTCACCCAGAACTAACACTAGGGTGGGAACTCAGTTACGCCAATCCATGTGAAGTAACAGGCCTTATTGTACAACTCATTAGAAATTACTTCTGGCTTTGTTGCTGTTACTTTTGCCATGGCACTCATACTTACAAGTATCAACCCAAAGGGGCAATGGGAAAGTTAGTATGTTTTCTTTTCCCTTTAAAAACACACTTTGAGTGATACTGAGTCTGCCACCAAGCACACCCACAACACAGCTTAGGCTATGGTCAGAACTATTCACCAATTATTTTGGTCATTGAAGTATAGCTTTAAAGTTAAAACCTTTCAAGTAGAATAGACTTTAATCCCAGTTTAAGAAATATAAATAAATGTAATGTCCTTACGTCAACAAAAACTAATCTTGCTTATTTAAACTTTTCCATCAAAGCTACACTCTGTGTTAGCTCCTGGGTGCCATTTTAATACCCATATAACGATGGACCAGATAATGTCTCAAGTATAATTGTTCAGCAGGAGAGGCAGAAACATGCAGGGCCATTGTCTGCAGATAAATAAGATGCAATTTAGAGACTTTTAAGAGATGATTTTTTTCCTCTCGCCTTAATCACAGTGAAATTACCTCTGGGTGAGGGCTGTCATTAAAATGGAAGAGGAGCACTTGCTTCTTGGATGCTCTAGACTAACATGAAGCGCTAATAGCACAGTGCCTCAATAGCGCAAACGGTTTTAACGGGCCCTATATTATCCCGCTGTGTGAGCTTTCGTCATGTCTGCACCACCCACTTACTGAGGACACCTTGTGATGGTCTATTTGTGGCATTGTCACAGCTGTTTACCGTGATAAATACAAAGTGGAAAGTGGTTATGAAGGTGCCAAAGAAAATTTAAGAGCTATAGAAACACCCCCATCCCACACTGATATCATTTCATTCTTGTTCAGTTAAGTTTTTAGCTGCAGTGTACTCAAGAAATTGTCTATTATCTAGTTGTCCAGAGAGAGCTTCTGCAAAGTGGGCAATATGCCAAAAAACTAATCACAATCCTTTTTCTCCTCATATTAATCTAACATGATTTTTATTTCATTTTATTTTTTTATTTCTTCAGATATTTATTCTACTTTATTTGGTATATTAATAGATTACTAATATAACTAGATTTCAATATAAATTTCTTTAACATGAACATAACAAAACTTTGTTGTTAAATAGTTAAATATCTTTACTCCAATGTCTACACTCTGCTCTTAACCTTATGCTTTTGCTGAGATTGGCTGTGAGCCTCTTGAATTAGAAAGTTCCAAACTGATCATTGACAAGTAGAAATCGATTTCAATTAAAGTTTGATCTCTTGCCCAGTCCTTCCACAAAGACACTGGTCCTTGGTGGCAATAGCTATGTCCTTTGATAGAGAAAATCATGAAATCCTTCCAGGCCTGAGGAGTCTGCAAACTCCACACTTAAGTCCAGTCCTGTTTGGGAGTCAAGCCTAATACCTTATTGTTATGAGGTATGTTGGCCTAATTGTTCTCTTTGGAACATATGCCAAAAATATTACACTTTCACCAGCTTTAGCTCTGGTTTGATCCAAGTTTCGTCCTGATGCAGATTTGGTTTTGTCCTGATCTAGTCCAGGATTAGTTTAGTCCCAGTTTTGATATGGTGTGCAAATGTGGATGCACTCTCAACACTTCTTTCACTAATATCAGACCTACAATTACTTAACTGTAGAGGACAAATCACACAGGGCTACAATAATGATATGAATCCATCTAAGTTCAGTTAGATGGATTCACTGTCATCGTCTGTGGAAGTGACTGGAGCCGTACGTGTCCCATTAGCGCCGCTGCGTGTCCCGTGGCGTGGCTCTGGCCCTGCGTGGACGTCCCTCAGGGTGGCGTGGGGCCCGGGGCTACAGGCCTGAAGAAGCGGCGAGTCCAACCACGTCCAGATGTTGCTCTGCATTAGGCTCTGACGGGTTGTCATGTCGACCCACGCTACCACACACTTCCATCACGTCCCATCTGCTGCCAACACCTCCTCCGGGACCAGGACGAGGCAGGGAGGGGTGGGGCATGTCATGGCGCTCCATCGCAATGAGGAGACATAATTAATGTGATCTGTATATGGCGTAGGTGACATTACAGGCAGAAGAGACGCGTCAAGTTTGTGCTCATTTCAAATTTTGCCACTGAAATTATGCCACCACTATTTTCCTCTTCACTTTCCTGCCTTGACCATTTCCTGAATGTCTCTACCCACTCTCTTCCACTTGGTTGTCCTGTCAAACAAAGCTTTTGGAGGGGGAAAAAAAAGTAAATTAATATGTTTATTTTATTCAGTGTATGTGAACCTATTATCCTAAATGAAAGCTATGTCTATTTGTTTTAATGCCTGAACTTAATAATATGTAACATAGGCTACATTTTTTATAAAGGGTGATAAGGATAAAATTGATTGTTGTTGACATTTGTGTACTTGAAAATATTACAAGCTTGGTGCATTTTATAAATTATGTTCTCTGCCATGACCCACTTAGCCTCTTATTTATGGACTCACTTTTTTTGAGAGAACAGCTTGATATATGGCGCCACCTTGTGTCCATGGAGTATAACAGCAAGCACAGAGCAGCTTTTGAAAGCAGGCCATGTCGTGGCCATTAGTATGGATAGATGTAATTACAACTGGTAGTGCAGTCAAGAGCCTCTCCTCTATGTGTACTTACATCAAGGACATAAGATCCAGCCAGTGCCCCGTAGAAGTCTATGTGCTTCTACTTTGAAATGCTTAGGTAGCTAAATAAATATAATTAAGATCAAATATCTTCAAGGAGAGACTCTCCAAGGAGCAAAAGACTTAAACTGTTATTTCAAATGCACAAAAGTAATTCATTTTCTTCTAGATCTACTGTTGACTTTTTCTGGTTTTCAGTCCAATAAACAAACAAACCAAAATTAAAGCATACAAGACGAAAACAATGGAGGATGTGGTGCGGAAAAATCATTTTATTTAGTCTGGGAAACATACTCTTGTTATTTGATTATTTGTCAGATAGAAAAACACAATAGCTTTTCAAAATAAAAGCAATGTCTATTTAATTTATTATAATATTTATGCTTTTTAAAACACACTTAAATAAATATTTTTTGTTTCTTTTGGGTTTTTTTTATATTTTACAAAAACATACAATGACCATAAGAACAGTTGAGAGAACAACACTGATTTAAGGACACTCTAGATGCCACAATTAATATAGCAAAACCCAAATACCTTTACATAAGTGATCTGTGTTCACACCACTATGACAGGTACCAAGAAAACTGCAGGGTTTTTAAGTTACTACAGGTCCTGAAATATATTAGGTAGTATCACACGCACGCAGAGCACAGACTTGAGCTTAAGACAAGTGAACAAAATGAACAGAAAGTCCCAGTTGAAATTTGTTCTTAGTACCAATAAAGCAATCAATACACAAGAAGCCAGAGTAAACTGCAGTAAGAAAGTACTTCTGAATACTGAAGAGTGGTGCTTACATTTGGATGGCTGTTTGGTATGATTATTATTGTATATATTTAATAAGACATATTGTGGCTGCTGAAATTCATCAAATCACTGTGCACCTTTGCCTGAGTTTGAAAAGGTAACAGAACAGATAATAATAACATTCAACTGACCTATGTATGCAGGTATGAATCTATGTGAATGTATCTATGACAAAAAATATGGCTCTGGAGTTAAAGGTGCACTGTGCAACTTTTCTGCTGTTATTGCGTTGCCTGAAATGTTCCATGGTATGACATTAAACATATTCATCTAATATTTATCCATTATGGTTGTTTCTAGTGCTCAGAAATACAATAATTCCTTCTGTGAATAAGGGCACCTTTCCATAGATCTGAAATGTAATGTAACGTAGTGGTGTAACCTGCTCGTCTTCCTCACAATAGATGGGATTAAGCTATACTGTGGAACATTCTAGACAAAGCAATAACATTTCTATAGAGACAAGCAGGTGGTGGACACTCTGCTAGAAATGTTACACAGTGTACCTTTGAGCTATTTGAACATACTGCAATTGTCAGTTTTTGTATAAAGACTAAAGCTGTTTACAAATTTAGTATTAAAAATAATACCTGCACCTCATTGTTCAAAGTACTGAAATGGGACCCCTCAAACGCAGTAACCCCTGTTGCTCTTTGACCTAGCTGAAACGAACTTGTAAAGCAGAACAGCCGAAAGCTAATACTGAAGCTAATGCAACATTGATGGATAGTATCTCACCAGACAGGTAAACAAGATCTGTCCAGAGTAACCATGAGTGCCTCTTGGTGGCAGAGGAGTTTTTCTGTTTGAAGCTACTGCATTTAAAAGGGTGAATTTAAATGTTTGGCAATATGTAAGAGATAGATAGGAGGAGGGACTGGTTTGGATCAGTGGAGCAGGAAATAGGGCAGCGTGGTATCATGACAGACAACAGCATCGAGTCCCTGTGTTATTAATAGACTAAAGCAGCAGGTGTTGCCAGTCTATTGCTCACCGCCAATTATAAAGGCCCGCAGGTGTACCCAGCCAATCAGCAACCGGAACCAACTACAGCTATCGCACAATTTCAAAGGGGTTTTCTTAGACAAAATGCTAGTAAAACTTGCATAATATTAGGTCAGCTCTGAGCATCTATAAAAACCTCCAAAAAAGAAGTGAATATGTAGGTTAAAGGAATGTAGATCAGTGTGAAATATGGAATAGGGTCAAGTCTATCTCAAGTTTAAAAATGAAAGTACCAAACAGGAGCTGACTTCTTATTAGGAGTGGTAAGCTTTAAGTGGATGATAAATTACCTGCAGTTGTTTTTCTAGGATGTTCCACCCTCACATATTCTTAAAGGGCTCAGAAACATTCATCCTGTCTTTGTTCTTCTAAAATCAGCGGTTTCGTTCCTTGCACTGACTGCAAACTAAAAAGAATCATTTTGTACAAATCAAATCCTGAATGAAAAGTGACACTTTTAAAACACACAAAAATGCAAACTCGCATATCAATATCAATGTGTTCATATAAGTATAAGTATAAGTACTTTCCTTAGAAATAATAGCCAATTTAAAGTTTGATGGGATTAGTAGAAAGTTATTGCTTTGCCTAGAATGTTCCACAATATGGCATTAAACATTGTTGTTGCTGCATTGTTTCAATTTGTGTTTTTATTGCTAAAAAACAAATTGAAAAACATGCTGTGAGTAGTATAATGCCATACTACCATACCATACTGTGGGAACAAGGTGGAGACTCCACCCAAAAAATTACATTGTACACCTTTAATATTATTATTCAGCAATTGCACTTGTGTGTGTTTTGTTTTAATACACATTTTAGAGTGCCTATACTAATTTAGAATAGGGATTGTAGTTAAAACCTTTGAGCTTATGTCACAAACTCATTAGTAAAACACCTTGTTCAAAAACATTATATTTAAGGAGGTATTTTTCATCACGATAGCTTAGTTTTGCCCGGTTTGGTTTGAGTAAAGCAGCATTGCAATGGTACAAAAGCATGTGTATTCCTTGTAGCCATTTAACAAAACACACATCAACACTCAAAAGGCCTAGAAGAAGAAGAAATAGAGCAATGGGTACTGACTAGTAAAGCTCAACAACAAGCTGTGGTCAGTAGCACCATCTGGACATCATTTTCAGACATTTTCACACAAAAAAAAATATAAAATTATTCATTACTGTAACGTGTTGCCTCATTAACTTTCTTAACACTATTATTGCTACATCAATACAGTGTACTTCATCAAAGTTTCATCGGTGGACACAAACAATCCCAGTGTAAGGGCTGCTAGCATCCTTTAGCCCACTTGTAAAGGTATAGTTAGCAGGTTAATTTGATACTCACTGTGTACTACAACAAATAGTGTAGTACCGCAGTATCTGTTAGTACTTCTCGAGTTACTCTCTCGTTTACAGTACTCAAGTTTCGGCTATCCCTGACTTGTCCTCAGGTTAACAAAGTCACCCATAAGACCCATGGGTAGGTGCCTGTCCATCCATTGGTTTAACTCTGACTCTAAACAATGGAAACTGTATAGTACTGTGCCCAACAAGTGAAGAGATGTGATTCAGAAATTATCCAGTAATAGAGCAAAGGGTTATTTCTGGTGGTGTGTTTTAAGATAATTTAGAGATATTATTTTTAATAATAATAATGCTGTACAATTATACATTCACTTTTCAGTCACATTGCAGAAAGCTTCTCCTGACTATTGCTGCAATTTTGCACTTGAAGCATCTTCGTCCACAGTCAAACTCACAACCACAGTAACAGATCAAGTCATAGTGGGTGAGGTGTTTTGCTGAAGGACTCAAAACAAACTCAAAAAGAGTGGGAATCAAACTGCGAAATTCCAGTTATTGGACAATCCTTATACCTCGAGATCTGACTATACTATAATAATTTCCAGCAGGTTTTACACTGACTTCCTGGCCAACAAAAACTACCAAAATTTTATGAAATACTCCCAAGTCTTTTCATAAATAGAGCTTTGATAAGATTTGTGTGTATCGCCATCACCAACATCTGCCTAATCAGAGGTTTTGTCAGCAGTTTGTCAACTGTGCAATGGCTCAATGAACAAAACTGTCAAGATCCAATGTACAACTGTCAACACATGATGACGTTCTTCTCTGGCTATTCCATCTGCTTTCATTCAAAAAGAAAAGTTTTGATATGATATTTAATGTTATTAGACTTGGATCAAACTTTGGATGAACTTTCCTTTGCTTTTTGACATTTGCAGTTTTTTTCCCCACAGTGAAGCATGGGATGGCGAGGTCCCCTGGGTAAACCGCCCATACAATTTAAAAAATGACTCAGCTATCTCTGACACAGGAATCCACCCATTGCTTTAAAATGTCAAGACACATGTTTCTTTGGGACTGTCAAAATACATCTGAGTGTTCTTAAAATCTGACATTTTTCTTAATTACATTCTGTTTCGTAGCAACTCCATACCTCTTCCCCACACCTTAAGGCTTTCTGGGCTGGTTCAGTCTAGACTTTTATTACAGATTAAGGGATCTTCTTGCCGCCAAATCTTTATCTTTTTGTCTTCAATAATGAGTACTGTGTTTTGGCGAGGGAGGTGCGTCAGATGCGCCCATTGCCGTAGGAACTGCCCCTGCGCCCGGACTGTGGGTGGGAGGAGTAGTGGAGCTCTGCGGTGGAGAAGGAGGAGGAGTTTGATGATGAAGAGGAGGAGGTCAGTCCACAGGCTTCACAGGCCAGAGCCAGCTGCCTCAGGGCGTCGAGAGAGTCCATCTTTGCCCCACGCAGCAGATCACACTGGCCCTACCCAAAGCACACAGGAGATAAAAAGTATATAGTACATAACTATAACAGACAATTAACCATACAAGGACATTTTTTTTTTTTTTTTACAGAACTCTGGGACGCTACAATCCCGAATGTTGAAATTCCATCATCCATGGTATTCAGTGCTTATTGGTGGAACCTACTCTCCATTTTGTCCCCTGTGACTCCCCTGTGTGATAATATGCAAAACTAAAATATGCAGACTATATTATAAAATAGGTTGTTTTTGGTTACATGTTGTTGATTGTGGTGGTTTTGTTTTCTCCTTTCTCCATTTGTATATACCTGAAATATTGAAGAATGAAATCAAGTATTTCCAAAAGTATTTCAAAGCTAAACGTTACCTTGAGCACTGTGATGTTCCAAGTGAAGCTCTCCACAGCCTTATTCAGTTTACGCCCCTTTAGTCCCTCTTTCTCCCCAAGACGAGAAAGATCCTCGTGAAAGTCCATTCCTGTAAATATAAATCAGTTTTGTATTTGTTCTATATTAATACCAAGTAACAAGTCAGCTAAGAGAGGTGTACCTTCAGTGTTTATAGTTAAAAGGCAAATCAAATATTTACAAAGAAGGGACCCAACTCCTGACATTTACATTGGCTCAGAAAGGTCAGGAGTTATCTAAGCTCTTCAGGAGACTAAACACATACAATGGACTGTTTGTGTACACCCTATTTGACCACCATTTATACTAAAATACATCCATTTCATCCCAGTGCTCTTTCTTTTCTTATAAAAACACCCATCTCCCATTTAGCCTGAAATGCCATAGCTCCACTTATGATGCTGCTGCAGATTTGTTGTGACAGTGAAGCAGAGATCAGAGGCCAGTGCTGCTCACCTTCTTTCTGCACCTGAGCGACCCTGTCCTGGAGACTGTCTGCGCTTTCAATCAGCTGCTTCTGGGCCGCGATCATCTGCAACATAAACAATAAACTCGCATTCGTGTTCAAACTTTTTTTTTATTTTTTGACATAGTAGTTAAGTTATTTGTTTTGCTATTTAGTTTATTTATTATGCAAAATGGCATATATTATTTGCTGATCATTTGAAAGATGGTACAAAATGTGCAAACATGAAAAAAGTGAATGAATATTTTGAAAAATAACTATTATCTAAAATATCATCAATTCACATAAACATTTCAAATGCCAAATTTCAAATTCAAGAGATAAAACTCTTTCCATGAGTAACTGAAATGTAACACAATAAGTAAGCTGAATCATAACAAGCTGTACCATAAAGTCAGGTCATAGTTGATTTGATTGGAAAAGTTTGGGCACTTTGTGGTAAAGGACAAGTAGTATTGAGAGGCCATATAGACAATATTTTTTATACAGTAAAATTTTATCAAATGTTAGTATTCTCAATATATTCATTCATTTTATTTGTATTTATTTGAGCAACATACATATATATATATATATATATATATATATATATATATATATATATATATATATATATATATATATATATATATAATACAGTAAACATGGAAAATTGAGAACTTTGAAACAGCTAGCACATAACTTCAAATGAAAGACACACAGAGACATTAGTGACTCCAGGGCAGTGGAGTTGGAGATATTCTGGTGGTGAGTATGCGATGACTAAGCTCTGTGTGTTCAGAGGGATCACACTGTGCTGCTGAGGTCTCAACACTGACACAGCCTCAGATCTGCAGGGTCAAACTCAAGCACCATCGTCTGATATGTGCTACGGGGAGGGGGTCTAATGCAGGATCTGATGGAGTGGGAGGAAAGCAGGACTTCTGTGTGTGTGGGAGAGTGGGAGAGTGGCAGTGGTTTCATAGTGAAGTGTCTCAATGTGGATCTGTGTAGGTGCAGGAACAACATGTAACATGTAACAGTCAACATGAGCCTCTAAGCAAAGGTAAAATATGAGATTCAATATTACTGGCACACATGGATAGCTGCGGGTATAATTTATGATGGATTAAAGAAAAAAAATTGCCTGCAATATTACTTTGTATGTACTGAAAGTATATATCTTCACAACAAATCCATCACCACATTCAAACTGAGAGATGCATGACACTAAAATATTATGTAGCACCATGTATGTACAGCCTCCTCCTGCTTACTGACCGTGTCATAGGCAGTGAGTAGCTTCTTGGTGGGCTCGGGGAGGTTGATCTGGGCCTCCAGACAGGGGTACCCCTCCTTCAGCACCATGCATGCCCCCATGGTGCCCTCAGAGGTCTGCAGCCGCGTGGCCAGGCTCTGGATGCACTGCTTCAGTTTGGCCACTGTGGGGAGCCCACACTGCTCTTTGAAACTGGCCGTGGTGCTCTGGAAATGTGACAGGGAGAAATAAATAGTGGTGGATCAGATGTACAGTTGTAGATGAGCGCTGAGCAGAGTCAAAAAGGGTGACATACACTGACCTCCCTCTCATCTGCGGTCTTTCTCTTGAATTAAATCAATATGGCTGTCAGTGCCGCTTTTAATCCACTGAAATCAGACTTAGCTTAAGCGCATTTGGCAAGAGACGAGAGACAATATAGCTCAAATCTGAACCAGAAAATCGGAGAGAGCTGTTTTTCTCTGAAGCAGGTGTTTCAAAATGCAAAACAGAGTCACAGCAAAGCACTCCTGCTCTTTTAGAAAATAACTCATTTTGAGCTGTCATTGGGGGAAATTAAGTTTTGCATTTTTCAGACATAAACAGTGATCAGAAAGCGGTTCAGAATGCTGTTGTGTGCCACCTGGGACATCTGGAGCAGCCATAATGGAGCTCCACCTGTGGGAACTACATGTTTAAAATGGGAGTGTGTAAACGACTTTAAGCAATGGGCCCAATGAATCATAACAGACTGTGGCAGATGAACCCACAGCTGGACCACAGGGATGAAGGGAGGGGCAGGTCCAGCTCATTGGCAAAGGACAAACACATGGGAGCAGACTATGCACAGTCTGTGAATGAAAGAGTTGTGTTTTTCAGTGGATCAGGTTTGGACCAAATGGCTTGTAAAAATACACCTTCACTTTAGAGATGCATACATAATATTATTATTTTATATGAACTAATTTTTCTAAATCAGGTCTGAAATGAGAATAAACCATGGATAGATTGGTTATACATAAAGATTGATCAAAAAGACCAAAGCATAAATACATTTGTCTCAGTAAAACAGATATTAAAACTGCAGAGGACCTTGTGTACCACCAGAAGCAGCAAGCATTTTAAGTATTGTATGAAATGTGAACACAATGCCTAACAGCCTTTGTCTACATATGTCAAACTCTTGTCCTAAAAGGCATCACTGGAGCGCTCTCAACAACCACTTCCACAACCAATCAGGACTGTAAGGTGCAAGCAGCCATTTCTGACCCCATAACTGTCTACAGCCTTTGGTTTCCAGGCAACAAACCGGAGCAACACGTGCTATCAATCTAGCTACATGATTTAAGCGGCTGCATAAGTCAACTATATACCCCAGTTCTTCTTGATTAAACTATTCTGTAGGGCTGGACGGTGTATGGCAAAATTATTAATCATGTTTTCTCACTTGCATTGATCAATCAGGATTTTTCTTTTTGACTAAAAACAAACAAAAACATATGGCTTTCAGTGGCTAGTTCACATGCACCACAAAATCTGAGTTATGGACCTTAAGATTCCTTAAATGACATGCAAACATCTATAATGAGTGATCAGAGGGACCATGATCAGGAAGAAATCAGATGCTATTGTTGTTTTTATGTCTTTTTAGTATATCTTGTAACTGAAAAAAATCTAAAAAATAATCAGATTTTGGGAGTGCATGTAACCGCATCTATTGTTAATTTCATGAATTTTATGAAGATAGAATAGATTTCTTCCTCCAAAGTCTTAACTCCACACCACATTCTTTTACTGACTGTGGATTGGCTGCAGACATCTCAAGTTCAAAGCCCCAAGCTGATGAATGGACTGATCACCCTCAGTTTGAATTTGACATTTTTGTTATTAAATGCATAGCCTTGCTACATAGGAATCTGTTAAGGCCAGGGTCAGGCTTTCAAAACAGAAATATATATAAATCCATGTGATGAAAAAAATACATATGATTTCTACTCAGCAATGTCAATATTTAGAGCTGAACTGGTGGGTGCAGTATGACCAGACCTTTATAGATGCTTTATAATCCACCTCCACTTTTCTTCTTCCTCTCATCTCTGTCAATGGCTTTCCTCCTACAGCAGTCTATATTTTTATTCAGTGGCAGAATCTGATTTCTGCAGCACATTCAAAACAAATTACATACAAGATTGAGAGACCCCAGTTACTCGCCTATGTCTTTAGTTTAGCTTTTTGCATGATTTAGATTTACATTATAGCTTTACTCAAATATGTAGTCATGAGGGCCACTTACTTGCCCAATACACTGGATAGCATGTTTTTTAACCCAGCTATCAAGTCGACCCTTAACTTCTTCTGCAATTTGGGCACTTTAGATAAATGCACACTGAGCACTGCGAACAGGAACATTGCACAAGAGCTGCAGTTTTGGAGATGCTCTGACCCATTTATTTGGCCATCCAAAAAGCTCTGTCCACTTAATGCCCCAAATAAGGCGACCAACAATAGGTCTCACAATGCATTTTTAGTGTTTTTATTTAATCTTTCAGGGGTCATAATGTGGATCAGGTCAGTGTATTTTAAAGTATTACATCATTGTTTGTCTAAGCCCCAATCATTGTACATTAATAATCATTTCATATCTTCCAAACTACTACAGAAAGGATAACCTGTGGATTATGAGGTACATTATAAAACAATAGCATGTTTTTTTCTATCTCAGATTATTAAAAGATTTAAAGGTCAAATTTCTGACCTCTTAGAACATGCCATTAATACCACATAAAGCTTTCAAAGAGTTATATGGAATTTTGAAATACTTTTTTACATCTTAGTTTATCTGTGCATATATCTTTTTCTTTAATCATTTCAAGTTTGGTTAGAGCAATAATCTGACTCAATGGCATCGGCATCTGATCAATATTGATATACGTACCATTGTCTTCCTTGGTATTGTATTGAAAGAAAAATGACTAGCAGTGATGTAATGTAAACCGTCTTTACCTGAGCCTCCTCCCGTAGATCCGCTGCCTCTTTCAGCAGACCGCCGGCTGGTTTGAAGGCCTCGTCTAACACCTTGATTCCCGTGTGCCTAAGGGTGACGTACTCTCTCCCTCTGCGTGCCACCCGTCTCACAGACAAGCCCCTCCGCTGAGCCTTGCCCCCGCCCCTCCTGTTGGTCACGGCCACATGCACAAACAGACTGGAGTGTGGTAAGGGTTCACCCGCCAAACCCAGCAGGGGCACGTTGCGGTACCCAGGCTGAAGGCACTCGAACGCCACTGTGTACTGCCCAATAAAATCATCACCAATGTAGTCATCGTCCAATACTACGAAGCGCAGCAAGGCAAGCTCTGGCATGTTCACCTGGACACAAGAGGGCAAAACAGATCACATATTTCAGTAAAAAAAAATCAGGGGTCACCTTGCATTTAAAGGGCCTATATTATGCTGTATTTTGATATATGTTATATAAGTTTGATATATGTTATGACGTTCCTTATCAAATACATACCTGAAGTTGTGTTTTGTCTCATTCACACAACCCCTAAATATTTAGGTTGAGTTCGTCAGAAAACATTCTGATGATCCACCTTGTGCTGTCATGTGGGAATACATGAAGTATTCCATTGTGTTTTTAAACTCCATACACCTTCACTAGGATCATGTAGATATTTTCAGCCCTGGAAAAGTCGATCTCTACTGGACTATAGGTAAAAGGCATCTGTTAATTTGAAAACTAAATTATATCACAAGATGATACATTTGGAGCTTTGGAAATGTAGACAAGCTAATAAAAAAGCATTACTCAAGCATGTGTGACTGAAACAAAACACGACTCCAAGTTATGTTTTTGATGAGGTAAGAACATTCTACATGACTAAAAGCTCTAATTTCTAACAAACACAAAATTCTTCATGCTATGGATAAACTTGATCAGTTACTGTGTATTGACATAAAATCAAACAGCATGACAACAAAGACATCAATTTGTTCAGCATTTTTCTACATATCTTTCATTCAGATGTGGTCCATATCCAGTGTTGGGAAATAACTAAACACATGTACCTAAAATACCTCTACAGCAATCGTTCCCAAACTCTGTAGAGCCGCAGCCCCCCCTATTTATTCGAAAATTGTACAGAGCAGATTTCCACCACACGTGACATCACACAGGACGGCCCTTAGTACGGCCAGTAATCAGTCCAGCAGTCCGGTACAGGCTTCTGGTTGCATGGGCAGAGTTTTAAATGAGGATACCTGTTAGACCAATCACACTGCTCCTCATATGTCCCTCATATGTTTTTTTTTTTTTTTTTAAACACGCATCCTTGCTAGTACCATAGTCTCTTCATAGACCTGACTCTTCTGGTGTTGAGTCTAAAACCTGCTTGTATGCCTGATGATGTCCTTAATTTGCCTTTTAACTTTCCAATGAATGGCACAAAACTCATCTATCTCCAAAGAGAATGTTCGAGAGTTCAGCTTTAACTTTTGATCTCCATGGAAACATGTAGGTGTCATGCCCACCACCAAAAATCTTACCCAGTCCTACATCAATGAATTCAAGTTTTTTCTGAACAATGATTTTGTTGGTTCTAAAAACAACCTATTTTCCATCTACCAATTCAGGAGAAAATCACATGCATATGTAGTGCGTCCCACCACACTAGGCACAACACAGGGGCTCATTTGGTCTCATTATCTGGGCTTTTAAAACTTTAATGTTTCGTCACCTGTGGAGGTGCCAGTGCTCCAACCGCTTGTGTTGACTGTCTGCATTATTCATATGCTCTTCATTTCAAATTACCAAGTCAGCTCTTATTAGGGGAAAAGATGCACTTGATTAAATGTTTATTGCAGTATGCAGGATCAATTAGTCACAATATTCATATAATAACACTCACTCTTATGCAGTGTCACTCACGGGGCTACTGGATGATGAAATTGAAGATAACAGTAAGATATCATTTTAGCTCACACCTCCCAGTTAATATTGAGCTGAACAGTTGTGAATGGAAAACACAGTGAGTGGGTAGACAAATGTTCTTTGTGTGCTGGCTCTTGCATGATAATTCTCTTGTACAAATAACAATAACAGTAGTCACGTGTAAATAAATTAGGATACTGTGGAAAATAATTTATGTAGTCATACATTATAGATCTTGTGTTATTATACAGTTACATTTCGGACTGCAACCATCAGAAAACACAAGAGTATTTCCATTCATTCTGGGTAAATGGTGAAAACGGGAGGGACATCCAATAATATAAGCTTATACCAAATCAGTATGCAAATCACTGCACAATGCAAGACAGATGAATTGCTGTGACCATTTCAGGCTCTGTAAGTTTAACTTTGATCATAACACTATCTTAATAATGTCTTCTGATATATTACTGCATCTGTTTTGATTAAGTAACTGAAATACATTTGCATCTTTACATTTTGCACAATGCCAAAGTGGTCAGCATGTCCCTCAGAGCAAGAAAGTCAACATCTAAATTGACAATTTCCTCTCAAATTGAGACCAAACATGCACAAAGCCAGTGCTCGCAGTATTATGATTGCTACAGAAATAGAAATGTTGTTCTAACATAGGGGTGTCCTGTATTAAGATTACACACTTTAAGCGTTCACTTATGTAATCTAAAGGGAACTTAATTATTTCAACTTATAGCTGAAAATAGAAAGTAAGAGGAGTAATTTCCTTCCCTGAGCTGGACTGTGCGTGTTTATGTTGAATGCTTCCATGGCCATATGAAGTCCTAAGGCTGCCAGGAAATCAGCTACAGCAGCGAGGCTCAGATATTTTCTCACGCATATTGAGATTTTTCAGTTTGCATGTGTCTGCATATGTTCCACGCATCTGCTTTGGATAACCCAGGGCAACAAGTGCAGCACTATAGCCGTAAACATCCAACTCCCATTGAAAATAAATGAATTGTTTTGATTCTGCACAGTGCTCAAATTCAAGAGTTTCTTTGCAAACAGCAGCTGTATTGGAGGAAGGACACTACTGACAACAAGAAATACACAACAGTAATCAGCTTTGTCCATGATTTTTCTGTTTTTTCTAAGTCTGCTCTACTTACTTGAAGGTTGTGTAGAGACAGAAGTATATAGACTGTATTGCCTGGTTGTCATTTCTTCTTGATTGTGCTGAAGAAAGACAACACAATGGCATGTGGATACTAAAGATTCTTATTTTTGTTGAACTGTTTTCTTTTAGATGTTACAGTAATGGATCATATTAATTTCTATCTCTTTCTGCTCTAACCTCTCTCCTTCTACAAGAATATTTACAATAATCGCACTTTGTTTACATGTACAAACCATCAGTCTGACATCTCTGATTTTATCTCAAAAACACAATACACTCTGATACCTACTCCCAGAAATAAATAACATTTTCAACTCAGCCTCTTGTTTATTGCCCAGTGCTAATAATAGCAATAATATCATGAGATTATGAAAATACATTATGCTTTGCCTGAATGTAACTTGTAAGAAACATGTCCAACTATCTGATCTAGACCTTAGTTGGCCTTTAGGCTACAGACTGAGGAGGACATTACAACAGTATCTTCAAACTTGTGGGTTGTCAGTGAGGCAGTGATGCTGAGACGTGTCATGCATGGTTATCCAAGTGCACAGCTCCCTCAGCGTGACAACAAATGTTCACTCTGAAGTTCCCCCTTGTTCAGCTATATGTGCAGAACTGCTTTGAACAGTTAATTAAATCATGTTCAAGGCAACTGCTTTTCTTAAAGGCAATAAATTAAATCTTAGATCTCTCCTGTGTCTAGTCTACCCAGCCTATCAGTGGGAACATTTATATAGGAAGTAAAATTAGATTACTAGTAGGCCTTTCATGATATCAAATTTTGAAGCATGATAAGCCGATAAGTCATTATCGTGACAGGACTAATTACTAAAATAAGCACATTAAGATTTACTTTTTGGAGAGATCTGGGCAGCAGTCGAAGGCGGGGGCCTCGACGACCGGATCTCCGGACATGGAGACTAGCTCTGGGGACATGGAATGTCACCTCGCTGGGGGGAAAGGAGCCTGAGCTTGTGCGGGAGGTTGAGCGTTACCGACTAGATATAGTCAGCCTCACCTCCACGCACAGTTTGGGCTCTGGAACCCAACTCCTTGAGAGGGGCTGGACTCTCCATTTCTCTGGCGTTGGCCACGGGGAGCGGCGGCGAGCTGGTGTGGGCCTGCTCATTGCCCCACAGCTCAGCCGCTTTGTTTTGGAGTTCACCCCGGTGAACGAGAGGGTCGCGTCCCTGCGCCTTCGGGTCGGGGACAGGACTCTCACTGTGGTGTCGGCCTATGGGCCGAACAGCAGTGCTGAGTACCCGGGCTTCTTGGAGTCCTTGTGTGGGGTACTAGACAGTGCACCGACCGGGGACTCCGTTGTTCTCCTGGGGGACTTCAACGCCCACGTGGGCAAGGACAGTGACACTTGGAGAGGGGTGATTGGGAGGAACGGCCTCCCCGATCTGAACCCGAGCGGTGTTTTGTTATTGGACTTCTGTGCTAGTCACGGTTTGTCCATAACGAACACCATGTTCGAGCACAAGGGTGTCCATAAGTGCACGTGGCACCAGGACACCCTAGGCCGGAGGTCGATGATCGACTTTGTAGTCGTGTCATCTGATCTCCGGCCGCGTGTCTTGGACACTCGGGTGAAGAGAGGGGCTGAGCTGTCAACTGATCACCACCTGGTTGTGAGTTGGGTTCGCTGGCGGAGGAGGAAGCTGGAAAGACCTGCCAGGCCCAAGCGTGTAGTGAGGGTCTGTTGGGAACGTCTGGAGGAGCCCTCTGTCAGAGGGACTTTCAACTCGCACCTCCGGGAGGACTTCTCCCGGATTCCGGGGGAGGCTGGAGATATGGAGTCCGAGTGGGCTTCATTCTCGGCCTCTATTGTCAATGCGGCTGCTCGGAGCTGTGGGCGTAAGGTCTGTGGTGCCTGTCGCGGCGGCAACCCCAGAACCCGGTGGTGGACACCGAAAGTAAGGGATTCTGTCAAGCTGAAGAAGGAGTCCTATCGGGTCTTGCTGGCTCGGGGGACTCCTGAAGCAGCTGACAGGTACCGGCGGGCCAAGCGTGCTGCAGCCCGTGTGGTTGCGGAGGCAAAAACTCGGAGCTGGGAGGAGTTCGGGGAGGCCATGGAGGAGGACTCAAAGAAATTCTGGCAAACCGTCCGGCGCCACAGGAGGGGGAAGCAGTTCTTCGCCAACACTGTTTACAGTGCGGGGGGAGAGCTGCTGACCTCGACTGGGGACGTTGTCCGGCGGTGGAAGGAATACTTTGAGGATCTCCTCAATCCCACCGTCACGTCTTCCGAGGAGGAGGCCGAGGCTGGGGACTCGGAGGCGGACTCATCCATCACCCGGGCTGAAGTCACTGAGGTGGTTGGAAAGCTCCTTGGTGGCAAGGCTCCGGGGTTGGATGAGATCCGTCCTGAGTACCTTAAGTCTCTGGATGTTGTGGGGCTGTCTTGGCTGACACGCCTCTTCAACATCGCGTGGCGGTCGGGAACAGTACCTCTGGACTGGCAAACCGGGGTGGTGGTCCCTCTGTATAAGAAGGGGGACCGGAGGGTGTGTTCCAACTATAGGGGGATCACACTCCTCAGCCTTCCCGGTAAGGTCTATGCCAGGGTACTGGAGAGGAGAATCCGGCCGATAGTCGAACCTCGGATCCAGGAGGAGCAGTGTGGTTTTCGTCCTGGCCGTGGAACACTGGACCAGCTCTACACTCTCCATCGGGTGCTCGAGGGTTCATGGGAGTTTGCCCAACCAGTCCACATGTGCTTTGTGGACTTGGAGAAGGCATTTGACCGTGTCCCTCGTGGTGTCCTGTGGGGGGTGCTCTGGGAGTATGGGGTCCGGGGCCCTTTGCTAAGGGCTGTCCGGTCCCTGTATGACCGGAGCAGGAGCTGTGTTCAGCATTGCCGGCAGTAAGTCAGACCTGTTCCCGGTGCATGTTGGACTCTGCCAGGGCTGCCCTTTGTCACCGGTTCTGTTCATTGTTTTTATGGACAGAATTTCTAGGCGCAGTCAGGGGCCGGAGGGGGTCCGGTTTGGGAACCACAGGATCTCATCTCTGCTGTTTGCGGATGATGTTGTCTTGTTGGCTCCATCGAACCAGGACCTGCAATGTGCACTGGGGCGGTTTGCAGCCGAGTGTGAAGCGGCTGGGATGAAGATCAGCTCTTCTAAGTCTGAGGCCATGGTTCTCGACCGGAAAAAGGTGGCTTGCCGTCTCCGGGTGGGTGGGGAGTCTTTGCCTCAAGTGGAGGAGTTCAAGTATCTCGGGGTCTTGTTCACGAGTGAGGGAAGGACGGAACGTGAGATTGACAGGCGGATCGGTGCAGCTTTGGCAGTGATGCGGTCGCTGTGTCAGACCGTTGTGGTGAAGAGGGAGCTGAGCCGAAAGGCGAAGCTCTCGATTTACCGGTCAGTCTTCGTTCCTACTCTCACCTATGGTCATGAGCTCTGGGTAGTGACCGAAAGGACAAGATCGCGGATACAAGCGCTTGAAATGGGTTTCCTCCGCAGGGTGGCTGGGCGCTCCCTTAGAGATAGGGTGAGGAGCTCAGTCACACGGGAGGAGCTCGGAGTAGAGCCGCTGCTCCTCCACGTCGAGAGGAGTCAGTTGAGGTGGCTCGGGCATCTGTTTCAGATGCCTCCTGGGCGCCTCCCTCGGGAGGTGTTCTGGGCATGTCCCACCGGGAGGAGGCCCCGGGGAAGACCCAGGACACGCTGGAGGGACTATGTCTCTCGGCTGGCCTGGGAACGCCTCGGGGTCCCCCCGGAGGAGCTGGAGGACGTGTCTGGGGTGAAGGAAGTCTGGGAGTCCCTGCTTAGACTGCTGCCCCCGCGACCCGGCCCCGGATAAGCGGACGAAAATGGATGGATGAATGGAGTGTGTTTACATGCACACAAAAAAATGTAATAATCAAAATCGCCAGGGGACACATGCCATTTAATCATTGGAATTTTAGAGTAAATGTATTTGCTAGGCAGTACAATTCATTTCACCTCTTTCTTTAAAAAGCCCCCTTTCATTTTTATCCTTACTGCATTAGTTTGCCCTTTTATACACATTTTCTTTGTCAAAATCCACACATGTGAGAACAATCAGAAAGAAATCAGATTACTCATATCAGATGTAGCTGTTTACATGAATTTAATTTCATTTAAAGAGCCTGGTTACTCACAATATGAGGTAGTGATGAGGTTTTGCCATTGCATAGCCAACGGTAAACATAGCCAGTGTTAATGAAAGAATGTAACAAAATGATTGTAAAGAATAGTAAGCAGCATATTATACAGTAAGATGTCACTTTCTCTATCTACATTACATCACATTCTGTATTGCTCATTATGAGGGTGTTCTTGAGTGGCACATACGCTGACAGAGGCTGACAAAAGACTACTAAAAAGATGAAAGATTTCTAATAGAACACATTGCATCCTGGGATATGAGTGTAGAACCACTTTTGAGGTTTCTTTTGCAGCTGATACACAATGGGCACAATTTCTATTAAATGTGTTTGGAGTGAGAGAAAAGCTAGAAAAGGCTTGTCAAGACATTGCAGTTGGAAAGATAGATGTCAGTAGGGCCCTCAAGCCTGGGCTGCGTCAAAGTCAGATGCATGTTTTATCACTGTATTCAACGATTTTGGGTGAGGCCAATTTATGAGTAATATGTGACGTTTTATCCAACATGGGGTTTTCCTTTGTTTTTGCATAACTATCTGTTACTATGTGTGTAACCAAATCAATGGGCCCTTATTTAGACTTCCTTTTCCTCTTTATCTCTGGTAAACTAAATCTTGGAGAGTTTTTAGGAGCAGTTTTTGGAAAACTCTAATTTAAGTAGAGAAAACTTTGGTCTAACCCACTGCTTTATATGTTCATTAATTCATAATTTTGTTGTTGTAAAAGCATATGCTGAGTGTAATTAATTTAAACTGAAAGCTACTGGTTAAATTAAAACAAGCCTGATGCAATGTAACATTCTCTTATTTCAAATCATAAATAAGTTTAATAAGCCATTCTTTGTGCCACATTCAAGCCCTGGATAAGAGTTTGAGTCTGGATTGATATCTGTCACAAAACAACTCATTAATATGCAAACTTAATGTAGGCAGAAATAAGAATTAATGTGGAGAAGCCATGATGGGAAAATTTCAAAGTAGAGATTAAAGCAACACAATGTAACTTTCTAATGCTGTATTATGGAATATTATAGCCAAAGCAACAACATTTCCATGGAAACAAGCAGAAGGAGGCCACCCTCAAGGCCGATTAAGTCAGTCAGTTTTATGGAAGCCATGTTTATTCAGTGCAATAAAAACTTCCAAAATGAAAAAACAAAAACATGCTTTGTTTTAGTTACATGGTGGGGCTTTAACCATAGAGTTCAACTGTGATGTGACCTGTCTTATTTCATATTCCATGGTATGGACCCCGTGTACTTTATTGCTTTATACTCTACAGACAGTTCCTTGCTAACTGCTGTCATAGCGCCATTGTATGAATCTTTAAGTAAATCTACCTCTCCACAGATACAGGTATGTCCTATGGGTCACACGCAGGTAATCCATCATCGTCTGTAGCATACTGCTCCTATCCACTCACCAGTGTCTCTGTCTGTCAAACCTGTGACAGATGGGCTCCCACCTATGTCTCCATATATCCTCATATAGGAACACAAGCGCTTTAATAAAGACGAATACAGCCATTAGACTCAGACAGAATATCTATTATTTTTTAAAGCTCCCAATAACAAAATGTGCAAATTGCTTATTGCATTTAACAGTGATTTGAGTCAGTAATTACTTGCCTCCTGTCCACACAATTTACTGCCAAATGTTCTTTCAATAACAAGGTATTTTAAAAGGCTGTTTTCCTCAAGATGCACGACAAGCTACATGCACACAAATCAAACCCATGTCATAACATCTGTCAGCATGGCTCATCAGTATGTCTTGTACAGAGCACTGATTCACAGAGGGCAGCACAGTCAGTAACAATGATGGTCTGCTTCAGAATATAATGCAACAGGGCCTTCAAAATGGGAAAATAAGACTTTTATGCACCGATCCAGCTTTTCAGTTCCGATACTAATTATGATCTGCCGATTCCCTGATATCAACCCATACTGTGCAGAGAATGAAAATAACATTTATTTCTGTTATCAAATAAGACAACTGATCCAAATGTGTTATGTAGCTGTTATTTATCACCTTGTATAAATGAAAATTCTAACAATGAGACTTTCTGGGCTGACTATGACCAGTAAAGAGGCGAACATCATTTGTCCAACCAGGATATCGGCTGAGCCAGTATTTGGCAGGCAATATCTGATCAGTAACTTTTTTCAGTATCAGCACCGATAGCCGACACCAGTATCGGATCGGTGCATCCGTACTTTTTACTTTTACTTTACTTTTACTTTACTTTTACTTTACTTTTATTCCAGCTACATAGCTAAGAGTCTTTGAACTCAGATAATACTGTTTAATTGTTTAAAAATACGTATATATTTTAAAAAATATATTTAAGGTAGAAAGTTTTAAATAGAAAGCAATTTGTAATATATATTAGAGAAAAGCTGTACACCCACAGATTTTTGAGAATTAAACATTCTCTATCTGGTAAACAGGATTATTTTGTGGAGCTGTCATGCTGTTATGTAAAAGGTTTTACCCGTTCATTGCATTGGTGTTTGTATTTGCTGTAATTCATAATCATAATATCCACACAGACTCAATTAGTACAGAATGTAATCACTAGGCCTAAATCCTAAATGTTCATTTCATATTGCTGCATCTGAATTTTTTGCAGGAATAGTTAAACATCACGAGGGGATGTACCTTTGGGTGTAATTATAATATATATTTTCAAGATTTCAAGTTCCTCAGAAACTCGGATCATTGATATAAAGCATGTCCTTCTAATGTATGACTCCTTTAACTGTAGAGAATGTACAGTCCTTCCTCACCTGGAACTCAAAGGTCTCGTCAAACAGTGGGTCGTCCTGGTTTTGAGCGGCCGTGCGTGTCCTTTGTTCAGCACAGTCTGCAGGGACCCCATGTAGCTCCAGGACCACATATGGGTCAATGACCTCACCCTTAGCACCCGACCCCTGGGGCTTGGGCAGGTTATGGGCACTAATCACCTGCACAGCAGAATGAATGTCACACATGAATCACAGTACAATGTAAAGCTAAAACATACAGGACAACTATTATATTTCTGATTTCAAATGAAAAGGACTGTACCTTAATGCGGAGCGTCTGTGGAGGCACTCCAGGGACACAGCCTTGTGTGTGGGCACTGAAGTATGACACTTCATCTCTCATGACAGCAGGTCTCAGAACAAAGCCACAGCCCCCGTTCTGAGAGAAGCGTCCTCGGTGAAGGTCCAGCATGGCTCCAGGAGTCTGCTGGTTCAAGGCCACAAGCTGCACCCCGCCCTTCCAGTAGCCCTGAGGGTTGGGGTTACTAGAGTCCAGCCGCACTGAGCTGGGGCGCACTCTCGTCAGGGTGCGTTTGGTGAACATGACCAGGTCCTCCGGGCTCTCACTGCTCAGACGCCCGGCCTCTCCTTCACCCAGAGAGCACAGAGTCCAGTATGGGGGCTCAGGGGGCAGTGGTGTGCCTGGGGAGCAGGGGCTGCTGGGAGGCGACTGCTGCTGTGCAAGTTTAAAAGTGGCTCTCTGAGCGTAGAAGCTGCGACTGCCTGTCCGAACGATACTCACCAGGTCTGACAGCTCTTTGTGGAGCCGAAGTTTCCGGGGCTGAGAAGGAGGGGGCACGACCAGCACCACGCCCAGCTCCTCCTCACCAGGGATGGTCATTCTGCGGCCGGCTAAGGGTCCACCTCCTCCTATTTCCTCATCCTCCTCAGACACATCTCCATCGGAGTCCTCTAGCTCTGAGGGCAGCTTCTTTCCTACTATAAGCACACGCCCCTTTAATTGCTCAGGAGAGGGCAGAGTGGTGGGCCGGCCCCCCAGAGTGACAGGGAGAGCCTCGGGGGTGTACAGGCGAGTCCCGAACACTTTTTTAAGGTGCTGCGCCATGACCCGCTGCTGAGACGGCGTACAACGATGGCACAGATATATAAGCAGTGGGTACTGGGACGTCAGAAAGGCATATTTGTTGACCACCTCCAGAGCAGAGCGGATAGTGACTGGGGAGTGGTGATGATGATGATGGTGATGATGACGAGGGATGTCTGGCCCAAGGTCCACCCCCAGAAGTGGCTCCCCTTCTGGCCCGTCAGTGATCCCGAGCTCCAGGCAGCGACAACCAGCCTGCAAAGCCTTTATAAGTCCACCGAGGTCAGCCCTGCCATGAACCTGGTCATCCAGCAGGTAAGAGCGGTACGATGTGCTGAAAAACAAAAGACATCATGTTGTCTGAATTATCATTGAGAGTGTATAAAACATGTGCAAAATGTGTGTATTTTCGTTAAATTTATTTTATCAATCAATATTATTCTGGTATTTAGGCTGTTATCTCTCACCTGATGTAATAGTGTGACAGAGGCATGCTCATGTCCTGGCAGACTCCTTGGTGTTCAGGGTCCTGTAGTTGACACTCTGGAGACTGCAGATACCTGGCGAACCCATCAATTCCCATCAGCCCCCTCTCCCGGCCCTGTGCTGAGGGCTCATATCGCCTCAGCAACTCCCAGCAGCCCTCAGTGGTGGCCAGGGACAAGCCCTGTTCCGTCTCCAGGAACAGCCTCAGGTCCTGAGGGTCCAAACACTCACGGTCCTTGGACAGTTGGACCAACAGAAAGTAGACATCAGGGCGTGTGCACAGCTCACAGTAGGCTTCCTGAAACTCCTCACGTGTCACATGAGACGTCAGCTTCTCCTTACTGCGCTGGATTTCTTTAAAGCGCAGACGCACCTGTAAAATAGAGAGGAGACACATACAATTATAATAGAATATGCATGATCTTAAAGGTGCACTATGCAACTTTTCTGGTGGAAGGTCAGCCCCTTGCTTGTCTGGGAAGGAAATCCCAGCCTGGAATGTTTCACTATATGTCCTTAAACTTAAAATTTATTTCCATGAAGACACAGGTTACACAACTAGGCCATGTTACCAGTCAGATCTGTGGAGAAGCAACCTGCTCTCCAAAAGAATGTTTGTTTATCATGTAAACCATGATGCCATGCTCTGGAATGGAAAAGCAAAAACACAGAGACAAATAAATGGCAGAGCCTGCTAAATAAAAGTTACATAGTCAGCAATTAATTGTGGTGTACTTGAAAGATTGGTGGTGGTCGAGTACGGAGTGAATGAATAATGCACAAAATTGTAAAGAGACTAAACGTCTGGCAAAGCACTGTTTAAGTTAGGGATAAATGCATTGCATTATTAATATTTAACTTTCACTGGGAAAATAAGCCTGCACCACATATTAATTTGAGAAGCACTGAAATAAAATGTCTTTCAAGCTTTCCAAAAGACCCCTCAGAGCTATAATCTCAGCACAATCACACATTTCAATCTCACATGGCTGAGCCAACACACTTCTAAGCTCCTCAAGTTTCCACAGGGATTGTGGGCCTCTATAGACGTCTGTTTAACCAGTGGGCAACATAATAAGCAGAGTTTGGTACAAGTAAGTAACAGGTGACACGTGTGACAAACCAACAAAGGAACAAAGGCCCCCAGGCCTCAGACTGAAGATTAAATGATCAGCTGCTTCAAACACAATGACTGAAGCAAATGAGCAGAAAACACACACCACTCCCGCTGTCAGGGTGAATACAGCATCACCTGCCCATTTCTACAGGCAGCACTCCTAATTACAAGTCTTTGGCACTTGACAAGCTGCAGCCAATGATGATGAGGTCTGATTTGAGTAATTTTGTCCTGGGTTCAACTGTGTTATATAAATGTTCCAAAATTAAAGTTACTTTGTTTTTGATTGGATTGATAAGCTTATTAAAATTGTCTGGACTCTCAAAGTAGGGCATGGAAGGATATACTCAAGTCTGACAGGAAAAAAACTTTTCGTAAATTATTTCTTTTGCTCAAGAAAAATAAAGCTATACAGCCAGCTAACCTAATTAAGTAATGAACTAAACCAGCAAGATTACAATGATAACTCCATAGTTCCTACCCATTTAAAGTATCTCATTCATTCATTCATTTGATCCATCTTTCAGTGATGCTGGGCAACCTTTCAAGAGCAGTGGGCAGCATCTCCTAAGGGTATGCTCGCATATTGATCAAATTTACTTAACTGAGGACTTTCTTTAGTTAGCATGTTGATCATCGAAAAAACGTGTAAGTATCCCCCCTTTACATTATTACTACCACCCACCTGAAATCACAAGTGAAATCTTTACTGTGATTATAAATGATAGTATGTTATTTCTTTATACCTTTGCCTCTTTGATCCCAGGGCACAGTTTACAGATGGTCGACACAGCCACATCCTCAGACACAATGCCGTACCCATCTTCGTCAACTGTTGCAAACTCCGTCGCCAGCCATTCGCTCCGCATCTTACTGCCCAGACTTCCCTCTACCGAGACGCTTCCCTCAGGCAGGACTCCACCTCCCCCGCTGATTCCTCCAGCCGCTCCAATGACTGAAGGGTGTGCCAATAGGTAGCGAAGGCCTGTTACCCAGATGTTAGCCACATCTGCTGACAGCGCAACCAGGTCCAGTGACTGAGAGGGACAGGCAAAAGGATTACAGAGCAGATGGACAAAAACTATGGGTCATCCTGCTAGACTAAGGATTATAGTGTTAAAATGAACAAGCCCAAAATACAAAGACAGTGCAAAGATGTCAGCTGTTATGTAAATGTGATTTTCATGGAAGGATGAAAGAAGTTATACACAGATCAGGGCTGTAATTTGAAAAATGTTTTACTCTGGCAAACAGAAAAAGTTCATAATCCAGGTATTCTATAAAATCAACTATGCCTGTAACATAAGGAAAATTTTAATGCAATATCTAACAGCCTTCACCAGACAACCTTCAGTTTCTGATGTGCCGTATTGCTGTTGAAGATTGGAAAATAAATTGTCTTTATCTGCTATATCAGCCATTTCTTAAGACTATATAAAAGTGATTCCTTTATGTTTATAACATTTTTGAAAAGTATGTACATAAGGGGTCAGTAATTTATGTTATTTAAAGGTGCACTGTGTAACCTTTTGGTTGGGGGTCCGTCAACTGCTTGTTTCTATGGATGTCATAGCTCTGCCTGGAATGTTCCACAGTATGACATTAAATAAAACTACCTTACATTTATTATATAACAGTTGGGGTTTCTAGCTCAAAAATACAGATAAAAACAGGCATTCTGACAGTGAGCCTGTCCACAGATCTGACCTGTAACTTGGTCTGATTTGGTCTCCATGAAGATAGAAAGGTTTAATACCACGGACCATCCACCATAAAAGTTACAAAATACACCTTTAAAGATAATATATAGTTTCATTAAGTTGCAGTTTGAGTTATTTACATCATAACTAACTTCCTCTTACCTGGTAGTCGTCCCCATGTATGATGGAAAAAGCCGCCTCCTCAGCCAGGTGCTCGGACAGGGGGCCATTGTGGAGGAAGGTCTCCGTGCTCTTGCCTGTTCGGACCTCTCTGATGCTGGACACATCTAGCCTGGCCCGCTCCCCATCCTTTTTGGAGGGCTCCCAGCGCAGACAAGTGAGGTCCGGCTCCAGGGTGTAGAATCGGCAGTAGACCCTGGAGTTGGGACGGATCTTCTTCAGCTCACAGCCGCCCTGCATGAAGGCCAAGCAGTCCGCTGCACTGCTCACCTGAGACCGTACAGAGGGAAAAGAACTTCGTCAAAATGTCCAGCAGGTCAGAGTTAAGTGTTTGACTTTTACCTTCTTCTCAGAGGGCATGCTGCTAAACGAGACTGTCTTCTTTCTACCTCCACCAACCTTCTGCACCGAGGGATCCTAAAAACACAACATAATGCAAACAGGTGAGAATGGCATTTTCTGTAGGTATCAAGGCTTTTTTCAGCTGTACACAGTAACATATCAGTCAAAGCTGTTCACAGTGGGGCAGCAGTAGATCAATGGTGCTCAACCCCAATAACCCAGAGGTTTGATTCCTACGCTCACCTGTGAAAATCCTGTTTTATTAAAAAAAAAAAAAGTTATGTGCTTTTTCCTTAATTTCTAAAGTTAATATTAAGAAGAGCCTTTCCATAGTTGGGGCATTGCCAAAAAGTATATTGAGAAAAATCCACATGGGAAATACCTTCATATTAAGTTTTAATACCCCTGATTTGGCTTCAGTGTAGGTCTGATATGGGTTTCACTTTTCCAAATTTGGACACATATTCTCATTTTTAGCTTACGACTAAAATGTTGGAATTTTGAAAGTATATATTATTTTCCTTAAAAAGCTATAGGACAAAAATATAAAATCTACAATAAATTGTTATTGTTTTAAAATAGGCAATCCTGGTTCTTAGTTAAAGTAAGCTGTATGTTTGGCTTGTGTTGGATTTTTATATGCTATTTAGACACAAGTTATATGTCCAACAGTAACAGAAATCATTTGCCAGACTATAGAGGTTTATTAAAACCAAAAAAGTGAAAGTTGATAAACAAACTAGCTTAAAATTTAGACCTATAAATTTAAATAAATGATGAGTTGCAAAGTTAACAAGAGGAGGTCTATATTTTACAAGCAGAGCTGAGAAACAAAAATAAAATTAAACTTAAGAGAACATTCTGTCTTTGAGAAAATTGCACCATCAGCATTCTTTTTCCACAGTCAAACAGTCAACAATCCATTCAAACCTTTTTCTTGTACAAAATAGGAGCTCAGAGACTTATTACACAATACATACATATATGCAATATATTTGTGGCTCTGGCGTTCCCTGATGGCAGATTGATTGTCATGGTCCGTCTCTGCACTAGCACTGGTAAACGTCAATGCTAACTTTCAGAGCTTCTTTAGTGAGGCCCAGGCAGCAGTACATTTGTGATTGGTAATTAAGGCTGGATGTTGTGAATGGCAGCAGTAATTACAGGTGCTGCTGAGTGCACAGACTTCTCTACTGACTCAAACAACAGAAAACACGAGCGCTAAGATGGAGAGAGGAGGATTTTTTACATTTACTGAGAGAAATTGGGGGAAAATAAGTCAAATAGTAAAAAGCATAGTGACTGGATATAGATTTGAACTGGAAACACTCTGTAAAGAAGCCAGAAAAATGGTAAATAAATGAACCAAAACCCGAACAAAAACATTAGATTTGAATGATAAAATGCTAAATGCTTTGCTAAAACGGAGTGCCCATAGGTTGACACATATAAAGTAAAGACCAACTAATATCGTAAAGCTTTTAATGTAAAATGTGCCATTAAGATGTGATGAGGAAGACCACCTACGCAACACACTTGATTAACAGGAACACAAAGTCATATGGCCATGCATTTCCTGTAATTTTCTGCAAACCACAAATCATACATTCATGTTCAATTTAAGGACAACCGTCCAAGACTCAACTGAACTCTTTAACATAATCTACAGTGTCAATCAATCTTCTATTACCAGATGTTTTGAATGCACAAAAACAAGATGTTGGCAAATAGACATTTTGACAGTACATATTCCATGTGGTGATGTGCAAACACAGCTTGCCGGGTGTGAAATGGGTCACAGAACTATAAATGAGATGCAGTCAAAGCAAAGCAGTTTAATAAGAGAGCTTGTACAAGGCTGATCCCTGGTGCTGGATAAAAATGTATAACAAATAAAATTAATATAAAAATAACAAATTTGCTATCAGTTCAGTAATGTGTAAATTGTAGGGATGCACTGATCCTCTTTTTCTGTTCCAATACCAATGTAGATAGTTTTGCTTTAAGTATCTACAAATATATCGTATCAACCAATAGCAGAGCAGAGACTGAAAATATACTTATTTCCTTTAAACACAAACACCGCATGGTAAAAAAATAATATATATATATCCAAATGTGGTTTGTAACTGTTATTTATCATGTAAAGTAACTATGGAACAGCTTTGAAAATAGACAAGTTCAATATTTCGAGGTGTTTGGGATGAACACTGGCCAATTTATAGACCACAATGGGATATGGACTGAACCATTATCTTGGGATTGTTGTTTAATAAACACAACAATCAACACCAGTATCCAATGTCTGTGTTGTGTCCCTTGTGAACTGTATGAGAAATGGTCATAAGAAAGACTTTCAATTAGTAGTATAATATGTAATAAGCCCAGCCCCATTTCTTTGCTCATAATTTTCTGGCAAAACAAAGTGCATGCAATTAAGTGTGTTGTCTTGCCTCATATTTGAGCTAACAAGGATGTTCTGGTACCAGGATGTTTACGTTCACTCACAAATGCAACTGTTGAGGAATCTCTGTGCTATCTCTGTGTCTAGGGAGAAACAATTGTAACATACCAATGATCCACAACAATGAGACAAGAAGGCATCTGACCTTTGCCCCAAATGTGAAAGTGTCTGGACTTTTATGGGAAACTTGTGATTCTAGTTTTGTGTTGTGTTTTGTGTTCTGCGAATGTGGCCTATTTACATATATATACATTAGAGACTACATATTTTAATTAGGAGGTTTGTATTAAGATATTGATACTTTGCAGCGGTGTCATCAACATTGGTGTGAAACTAACTGAAAGCACTACTCAAATTAAACTTAATCTTTATTTTAACACAATCTGACCAGAAAGAGCTGACTTGGTTGGAAATACAACTGGTGAGATGATCTGTGAGCTTAAATAAGTCTCTCTCAAGTAAAATTAAAGTCACAAGATTTTTCCATTTATTCACTCTCACCTTTCTGTTGAAAATCAAGCACCTAAACAGGACCACGAATGCTCGTATTGATCACAGGCTCTTGAAAATATGTTGCTTAAATCCATTTTGTAATTTTTCATTACAAAGTAGCAATTATGAGTACAATGTTTCACATCAAAATGCAGTGTTGTCTGTAACTTCTAGGGATGCAGCGATAGTCGATATAATATCAAATTGTTCGATATTGGTCTCACGATTCGATACACGTGTTCGATATGCACGTGCCCCTCCATGCGCGCCGTGTTGTCATTTATTTTGGTCCAAAAGGAAAACAGTTATCGCAGTGTCCTCCTCAGATGCAGCAAGAAAACAGCTCCATAGGGACTTAGAGCTGAAATATTCTAACAGAGGTTGATCTTACCTTTCAGTCATTTTTTATTTTATGTTGATAGACCCAGGAATGATTAAAAAGTTTTAGCGCTAGTGTGGGACATGAAGCTCTAAACAAGAGGTGTGCTGTGCCTGAATATCAGGTGGAGTGGAATGAGGGCATGGTGTGGCGCGTCCTGTTAATTGCCAGAATCGTAAAAATAAATATCCAACTAGTCCACTGAAAAACAACATGTAACATGTTCAAGGCTTCTTTTATTTGGAAATATTAGGATGATTAGGAAATGTTAATGATTTAATCCATGTCTGTGTGTAAAGCGATAACATCAGAAACATTTATATGACAATAAAGGTATTCCATAATCCACGATTATTTCATTCACATTTCATTCAGAAGACATTTCATTGTACTATAACATAGTTTTAGTGTCCAGAAAGAGGATGGGAGAGAGCAGTGTCTGACAAACTGTAGCAGGACAGTGTGGGAGGAGCTACTGTCTGTCTCTGCTGGAGGAGGCAGAGCACATGGACAAAGGCATGTGCAAGCAGTGAGAGAACTCAGGAGGAAAAGAAGCCATCCAATCATCATTAAAGAAGGAAAAGTATGATAGTGCAACTCCCCTACTGTCTATATTAACAGTAGACTGGCTATATTATAAGATATAAAATAGCCTGAGAAAGCACTGTTATTATTTTCACTGAAAAAAAAAATGCTGTAAATCATTTAACAAAATGATCTAAAACAATTCAGATATAAACTACAGCTGTACAGTAGTTGTACTGTAATGTTTCATTAACATCACAGTGTTATTATACTCTTCGCAGAAAAAAATTACACAGAATCTTAAAACGTATCGAATCAATATTGTGACCCACGTATCGAGATATGTTTCGAATCATGGGAAAACCATATCGTTGCATCCCTAGTAACTTCCATATTCAATGATTTAAGAAGTGCTTCTTTAACCAAAGCGATGATACTGGGGACTGATCTGAAGGCATAAAGCCAACGCCACAGTAGATTACCGTTATTATTGACCAATCAGTCAGACTTATCGACTCTTGCAGCTCACAAACAGGTTTGTCTAACCCAATAGGCATGACTGACAGAAGAAAGATGCAAATCATTAAAGGAAATAAGTTACTGCTCACTGTGTTTAGAGCTACAATAACGCGTAAATATACTGGTCTTTTTATACACTACGTCATACTATTCAGTGCTCATCTTTTAAACTGTGTTGAAGCGATACTCATTGAATACATTTTTGTTTTATTTGTTTTCATCTTGTAATAGTTCACCATTTACAACAAAACATCTGATTCAGCTTTCAACAAAAGTCAAGAAAAACATGAAAAATAAAAATACATCTACCTCTGTTGACCCCATGCTGATTATGGCATATACTTCCATTAACACTTCTCTATCTCCACAGAGACACAAAGGTGTCAAAGATATGCTCCTGGTCACAGAAGAAATACATGGCCTTTTTTTTTTAGCAATAAAAAGTGAATGAATAAGACAGAACAATAGATGCATTAAAGTCATATTGTGGATTATTCCAAAGTAATAATAACAGCTCCATGGAAACAAACAGGTGACGGGGGCTATCTACAAAAGTTGCATGTCCCTTTAAAGGCCTATTGTTTTTACATGTACACTCCCATTTCCCTAATACGTAATAAAAATGGTACTTTTGACAAACACTTCCTGGAGACATAATGCCAATGTAATGACTGTACATGATCACAAACAAACTAA